GCTGTTATTTCAACCCAATGGTCTACAAGATAAGAAGCGAAAATTTGAATTGCTCCTTCCCTCGATAACATATAAAACAAAAGAAGAGAAATATATATGAGATTTTTACTATCAATTCTGAAGTCTTTTGCGCGCCGGTAATTCAACGGTCAGAATAGCTGTTTCCCAAACAGTTGACCCGGGTTCGACTCCCGGCCGACGCAGTTGTATATCATTTATTTGAATCCAATGGTCTGCAAGATAGGAAGCGAGAATTTTAATTGTTAATTCTCGCGTAAAATTATAAATCAAAATAAGAGAAATATGAGATTTTTACAATGAATTCTGAAGTCCTTTCGCGCGTCGGTAGTTCAACGGTCAGAATAGCTATTTCCCAAGCAGCTGACCCGGGTTCGACGCCCGGCCGACGCAATTACTTGAATTTTATTTCAACCCAATGGTCAGCAACATAGGAAGCTAAAATTTTAATTGCTCCTTCTCGCGATTAAATGTTAAAGAAAAAAAGCAAAATTTTTGAGATTTTTACTATCAATTCTGATTTTCTTTCGCGCGTCGGTAGTTCAACGGTCAGATTAGCTGTTTCTCAAAAAATTGACCCGGGTTCGACTCCGGCCGACGAAATTGCAAAACTTTTATTTCAACCCAATGGTCTGCAAGATAGGAAGCGAAAATTTTAATTGCTCTCTCTCGCGTTAAATTATAAAACAAAAGAAGATAAATATGAGATTTTTACTATCACTTCGGAAGTTCTTTCGCGCGTCGGTAGTTCAACGGTCAGAATAAATGTTTCCCAAACAGTTGACCCGGGTTCGACTCCCGGCCGACGCAATTGTATAACTTTTATTTCAACCCAATGATCTGCAAGATAAGATGAGAAAATAATTATTGCTCCTTCTCGCGTTAAAACTCAAAACAAGAGAAATATGAGATTTTTACAATCAGTTCTTAAACAATTTCGTTTTGCGGTAGTTCTACGGTCAGAATCGTTGTTTCCCAAACAGATGATCCGGTTTCGTCTCCCGGCCGACGCCATTGCAGGACTTTTATGTCAACCTAATGGTCTGCAAGATAGGAAGCGAAAAATTTTATTGCACCTTTTCGCGATAACATATAAAACAAAACAAGAGAAATACGAGATTTTTACTATCAATTCTGAAGGATTTGCGCGCCGGTAATGCAACAGTCAGAATAG